CTTCCTGTTAAAAGGGAGTTTTTCCTTCCCACTGTCGCCAAAGTGCTTGCTCATAGGGGGTCATATGATTGTTGGGTTTTTCTCTGTATCTATGAAGCACCTTGACGCAACTTTTGTTGTGATTTGGCGCTATATAAATAAAATTGAATTGAATTGAATTGAATTGAATAGTACTCGGCCTTGTCATACACTGCTTTGAAAGTAACAGTAACAGTATTGCTAGTAGCTGCTTGGCCCATTCAGCGTTCTAGTCACTTAGCAATCCTACCAGGTATTCCCCCTGTCATTCAAGTACAAGTTACTGAGTTTCATTGAGGTTCTGTGCTCTCTGCTGTTTTTGTTTTTGTGTTTTCTCTTATTTTGAATGATCTTTAATAGGCTTAAAAGGTGAGCAGGACAGTGACCCTAAATATCTAAGTAAGAGCACTGAATGACATCACCGACAACCTTCGCCGATCGAGGCGATTCAGTTGGAGCCCAAACCCTGTAGAGATCCTCTGGATTGATCTCAGTAGCTGTTTACACTTGATATCCTGAGAATGTGACTGAGCTGAAACAGTTCTTCCAAGAATGGGCTAAACTTCCTTTTCGAGGTTTCTGCTTGCCTGATCTGTAGCTGCTGGGAATTTGTTTGTGCTACAGAAAATGGTTGACAGCTCATTAAAGCCGAGCATCCTTTTACCGTCGGCACTGGGAATGTTTAACGAGTGTGTCCAATAAATGCAGGAATGATTAGAATCCCATTGTTGAAGAAATAAAGGTAAAAAGAGACTTGCACAAAACCTGAGAAAAGTCCTGCCAAAGGTGATGAATCTCAAATTCAGCTGTTTGTCTTGGCCAGGTCATTCATATACAGCAGACAGGTGCTGGCTTGAGGTCATGGATAAAAGAAGCAGAAATGAGCTTTTTCTGAATTGTGGCTAGGCTCTGCTTTCCTAATGGGCGGCGATCTTGGTCTTTCAGGAGGGGCTTGGAGTGGAGCTGCTACTCCTCCACGTCAAAAAAGAGTGGGATGGGATGGAATGGGATGGGATGGGATGGACGCCTCCAGGCCGAGGTGTTATCCTGCAGGGAGGAGGTCCTAGGACAAACTACAGAGGTTGTAACTGTCAGCTGGCCTGTTAATGTCTGAAAGTTGGAGGAAGCAGGTGGAGAAAGGGAGGTCACTGCTCATCCTTCTGCCCCTGCAGACCTGCCCCAGATATTGTCATAGATTGATTGATGAATGATTAAAAGTCGATTGCCTTTTGGGTGAAGGGTTAGCATATTTGTTGGTCTGAATAAGTGTAAATGAGATTATTGAAAGTTTTTATGTGCTCCTTTTTTACCTTTACGTATTCAACATGATGTTTGCTTAGCACCTCACTTTGAATAGTATATGAATAAAAATTGACAGTAATTGTTTGCTACTAGCTAATGCATGTTGCTTTTGTTTATAGGTTTATATTTTTTTGTTTTATATGTAACTCACTAGGAGTTAGAAATTGAGTGAGAAATTGATGTAGAACACTGGGCAGGCTCCCCATGCTTCTCACATCACACTATCTGGCTGAGAAACATGAAAACATCCCCGAGGTTGCTCTTTAAATATAGATACTGTTTAATATTTTTCGTCTTTTAGTAAAGAGACAAATGTGGTGACAAGTTGAATAAAGTAGTGTATTGGTGATTTTTCTTTGTGTCTTCAATCTATAATAGAAGCCAATGTTTTGGTTTCCACAGTTAAAGAGTACTGTAAGGTGGCGTATGCTTACAAAGCCACAAACGAGGACGAGCTCACCCTGAATGAAGGCGATATTGTACACGTGCTGAGCAAGGTAAGCTTCCAGGTGACTCATGCTGTAAACTTGTGTAATGAAATACCTTTTCGTCAGTGTCACAACCCAACATGTGAAGCAGAAGAACAGGTGAAGAACAAGGGAACTTTAGCAAAAAGGAAATGTGCAATCCTGTTACATGTCTGTGTGCACCAACTCTTCTCACATGATCAGGAGTTGAGCAGCTAAATGTGTATCATCTGATATCATAATGTTGCCTAGCAGCAATTTAGCAACAGGCTAAAATAGCTTGTGCTTAGCACTTAGGCACATATAACACTATATAAAAGCATTATATCACTGTAATTTAGCAATAATAACATTTCATTTCTGCTTGTTGTATGATGATACTGTTATGTTGCCTGGCAAAAAACAAACTGTTCTTTGCTTTTGTTTTCAGCACCTCATACAAGTTATTGCTTCACAGCAACATTATAAAATTATCATGCTGCCTGAAATCACCCATTTTTACCATTTATGCATCTACAACATGAACATTGCTGCTTTCATTTTGCAGCCAACCGCACAAACAATACTGTAGCATGGACTTGTACCAAACCAGTTACACTCTTATAACCTAGCTCTCAGAACTGGATGTAATTATTTATGTGTGGGGAGTTCATAGCAGCCCTATAGCTGCATTGCAAGAGAGAAAAGTGGAAGCAACACGTGGTTTCTTGTAATTCTTGGGAAGCTGCCTCCATCTAGTGGTGAAACGAGAAAAGTGCATTCAAATGAAAACAAGTTTTGACATATTAGTAGAGGGAGTTAAGTTTTGTTTTGTTTTTTAAGCTGGTCTTTTTGTTTTTCCCTGTCCTGTTTTACATATTTTCTTTGACTCCTTTATTGCCAAGACCCCTGATAGCGTAGGGTCAGGGTTCAGGCTATGTAGTTTTCAAAGTAATAAAAAACGTTCTTTTTTTTCTTTTTTTTTTCAAAAAGGAGATTACATTAGTTTTAAATAAAGAAAAAACAACAGCCTTATTGGACATACGTGTGATGTCATGCTAGCCTCCGCTCATTGTTTTCTGTTGCCTCTGTCACAGGACACAGGAGAGCCGGGCTGGTGGCGAGGCGAAGTCGGAGGCAAAGAAGGCGTCTTCCCTGACAACTTCGTTGTCATGATTTCTGAAGCAGAGAAAGAGGTGGGATTGGAAAAAGAACAGAATGAACTCATTATGGTCTACAGTCAACGTTCCCAGTCATTCGTTACTAGATCATCTGTTATAGGTTCTTTAAGATAACCGAGGGATTCGTGAGACTCAGGAGGGTGTGGCGGGTGGTGTTCATGGTGTAAAATATGAGAGTAAACAAGATACAAGGATATGTTCTTTATATTTGCAGTGATGCAAAATTTAGAAACATCCAGAGTGATCCTTAGAGGCTTACTTCCTTCACTTCATGCTGGAGCAGTTAACACTTAGCTATCCCTTAGTAATGCTGCTATTGGCTTAGACTGCTGGGGGACTTCCCATGATGCACTCAGTCCTTTTGCTGAGCTTCCCCATGTGTTTATATACTACTATAAAATCATCTTTCCATTCCCCTCATCCATTAACCAGTCACAGTGGATATACTGTGCGTATAAATTAAAACCAAACGTCAATAAATTAATTCAGTTTTTTAACCTGAACTCAATTTGATTTGGACCAATGAAAAAGAAATTATGCAGTACTATGTTTTAGTCCTGATTTGTTTTCTGTTCACACGGACCAATCAGGAGGAGTAAATATGATGTCATTCAAACTCTCATCTCTTCATCAGCTTATCAGGACACTTAGGAAAATCACATTCTGGTGACTGACAGCACGTTAATGCTGCGCATGAGAATGAGCCCCACAGGGATGTAGCACTGTGGTGGTCTCCGTATCATTTGAGGTAATCTCCATGTGCAACTGTAAAACTGTTTTTAGCTCTTGTGTCCTGAAGTCTTGTTCAGTTCCTTTGCAAAGTCACTATGATGGTTAGATGTATAGATTAAGTCATCTAAACTCCTTAAGGAAAACATTGCAGTTTGGTTTCATCCTTTGGATGCTTTCAGTGGACTCCAGACTTTCCAAAGTGAATTGTTTAATCCACACACATTCTTTTTTTTCTTTTTTTTCTTTTCTTTTCTTTTATAAATTTCCTGGCTTCTAGTTCCTGTTGCTGTGTTTTAATTCTTGCCCTCATCTGCTCAGTTCAGCTTGATGTAGCCTGGGGTAAAACAAAAACTTTGCACTATTTATGCTTCGATTCCTGTACAAACCTACCTTTCAGGCAATCACCACTCCACCTATGCGTAACATCACCACTCTGGCGTTCCACATTGTGTTTCCCACATCTGTCTCTGCATGTCAAAAAATCTCCTGAATGTGCAGTTCAGGATTTGCTCTTTCTACACAGTTTGATCCCCAGCTGTGTAGTAAACTCTGCAGCGTTCTTACATTTTATTTAGTTTTTAGTGTGAAAATCTTTTGGTCTTTCCTACCCATGAAATTAAACGCAGAGGTTTAGATAAGGACTCCCTGCTTCACACTGCTCACTCAATCCCAGTTTTGACGTATGGCGTACTGTATCTTACATCTACCAATTAGTTTTATGGAGCTCGAAGTCGGATTAAATTTCCCATGTCCCAAATGCAGCAAGTAACTGTTGGTGTCGTCCAAATGCTTTTTACAGTACAAAGGAGCCTTTTGAGATCAGTGGAGTAGTTTTTAAACAGTCCGTCAGGTTGTGTAAAATAGTCTGAAAGTCTGACTGATTGATCTCATCAGAGAAAGCTGTTGGAGTGACTTTCTAGCAGATTTCTGTTCTTGTTCAGGCTCCCACATCAAGAGGGTCCATCAAATCATCACCAAAGCCAGAGGCAGAAGAGGTAAGCATCCAGAGTACCCAAACTATTCACAAGCACTTCTTTTCATCCTTAGCTGCCTGTATGTAAAAGATGGGTGCAGCTATCATAGTTCCTGTGATGGAAATAACCATGGAAATAACCAATCAATAACCATGTTCTCAATGAATCCAAAAAACTCATAAATATCAAAGCTGAATGTTTTTGGAAGTAGTTTTTAGTTTGTTTTTACTTTTAGCTATTTTAGGGGGATATCTGTGTGTGCAGGTGACTATTACTGTGCATAACTATTAGGCAACTTAACAAAAAACAAATATATACCCATTTCAATTATTTTTTATTTTTACCAGTGACACCAATATAACATCTCCACATTCACAAATATACATTTCTGACATTCAAAAACAAAACAAAAACAAATCAGCGACCAATATAGCCACCTTTCTTTGCAAGGACACTCAAAAGCCTGCCATCCATGGATTCTGTCAGTGTTTTGATCTGTTCACCATCAACATTGCGTGCAGCAGCAACCACAGCCTCCCAGACACTGTTCAGAGAGGTGTACTGTTTTCCCTCCTTGTAAATCTCACATTTGATGATGGACCACAGGTTCTCAATGGGGTTCAGGTCAGGTGAACAAGGAGGCCATGTCATTAGTTTTTCTTCTTTTATACCCTTTCTTGCCAGCCATGCTGTGGAGTACTTGGACGCGTGTGATGGAGCATTGTCCTGCATGAAAATCATGTTCTTGAAGGATGCAGACTTCTTCCTGTACCACTGCTTGAAGAAGGTGTCTTCTAGAAACTGGCAGTAGGACTGGGAGTTGAGCTTGACTCCATCCTCAACCCGAAAAGGCCCCACAAGCTCATCTTTGATGATACCAGCCCAAACCAGTACTCCACCTCACCTTGCTGGCGTCTGAGTCGGACTGGAGCTCTCTGCCCTTTACCAATCCAGCCACGGGCCCATCCATCTGGCCCATCAAGACTCACTCTCATTTCATCAGTCCATAAAACCTTAGAAAAATCAGTCTTGAGATATTTCTTGGCCCAGTCTTGACGTTTCAGCTTGTGTGTCTTGTTCAGTGGTGGTTGTCTTTCAGCCTTTCTTACCTTGGCCATGAGTATTGCACACCTTGTGCTTTTGGGCACTCCAGTGATGTTGCAGCTCTGAAATATGGCCAAACTGGTGGCAAGTGGCATCTTGCGGCCCTGTTGACTATTTTGAATGAAATGCTTGATTGTTCGATGATCACGCTTCAGAAGCTTTGCAATTTTGAGACTGCTGCATCCCTCTGCAAGATATCTCACTATTTTTGACTTTTCTGAGCCTGTCAAGTCCTTATTTTGACCCATTTTGCCAAAGGAAAGGACGTTGCCTAATAATTATGCACACCTGATATAGGGTGTTGATGTCATTAGACCACACCCCTTCTCATTACAGAGATGCACATCACCTAATATGCTTAATTGGTAGTAGGCTTTCGAGCCTTTACAGCTTGGAGTAAGACAACATGCATGAAGAGGATGATGTGGACAAAATACTCATTTGCCTAATAATTCTGCACCCCCTGTATGCTTATCATCCATGGCCACATTCAGTGATTACTATAGGAGATCAATCGGTGCAAATTTGATTTGTTTTGAGTCATTTGACTTAATATTTGCTTTCAGTTTTGGTGTTTTCTCGCTCACAGGTCTGCTGCTCACCTTTATTATTTAATTTTAATTCCTTGTTATTTACGGGTTTCAACTTTTGGCTTTTATTATTCTTTACTGTTTTATTCTTGTATTTTGGTGCTCATTGGTGTTTTGTTGATTTACATTATGCCCTTACATTTTGTGGCCCCACCTTCTGGCTCCTGCTTTGTGGAGCACATTTTAAATTCAAAGTCCCCGCACAACTATTCAAATCTTGAATCGCAGAAACAGAGGAAAGCAGAAGTGAAATAGCAGAACTGCTATTATTTAAAACTATTTCTGTTTTACATTTCAAACTGTTGCTGTGTGCTGCTTGTTGCTGCATGATCTGTACCACAAAGCCTGTTTGCTCGGTACAAGTGAAAATGCATATATGCACAGGAAAAAGTCATTGCTATGCGTTGTTGCATTAAAATGACATCTTTACCTTTTTTGTTCACATGAACAACGTTGATCTATAAAAAGATAGACTAGGTTTGTTTGCTTGTTCTTGCAGTCCGGATTTTTCCCCCCACTTAATAGATTATTTTATTGCACTTATGACTCGTGTTTTGTTTTTCTTAAATACACATAAAGGTGAGTTATAATCATGGATCATGCTGATGATTGAACCATATCTTTAGATATACAGTCATGTGAAACAAGAGTGACCAAGAATTACAGCTCAGACTCTACAGGCCTCTGTTACACCTGATTTATGCTTCAGCAGCAAACCTATGACACACACACCAAGAAATGTAATTACATATCGGGTCAACGCAGCCTGCAACAATTAAAAAGATTCCCTAAATCTAAATCAGGCCTTAATGTGTTAAATATTCATGAATGAGTGAGTGAAGTCATCTGACAGTTAAAGCTTTGGTATGCACAGGAACAATAATCCCAAGCACAGCAGCAAATCTATAATGGAAAGGAAAGACTCCAGGTATTGCAGTGGCCCAAAGTCCAGACCTCAATCTGACTGAAATGCTCAGGGTGAGGTTGTGGGTGTGTGTGTCTTCTTTCTTTTTTTTAACATGACTGTATTATAAATCAGACACACACATAAACGCCTGTTACGTTCACTGAATCTATAAAAATCTTGGGAAAAGAGCCACTATGTGACTTTTATCATTGACATGTAACATGCGTGCCCTCAAATCCCTCCATAATCCCTTCTCCGCTTCCATATTTGACTCTTACTTTAGATGTGAATTGCTGGGATGAAATCAGTTTTTATTTAATTTGTGGGAGGTAGAATCGTCTTTAACTGCACATGTTGAAATAACACAACAAGAGAAGTCCTGAACATATTTCAGCCACCCGCTCTCACACTTTAATGTCAACTGGAACTAGGGCTGCTCAATTAATCGAATTTTAATCACGATTACGATCTGGGCTTTCAACGATCATTAAAAATGACTGAGCCGATTATTAGCCCCTCCCTCATTTATCCGCGACACCTTAAAGGCCG